ACTATTTTCATAATATTATATATATTTATTTAATATTATCATATATTTTATTAAATATTATATAAAATTATAAATATAATTTAATATAATATTATAATAATTATAATATTATCGTAAGCGCATAGCATTAATAAGACGGAGAGAGGATATGGTAGGACTGTTATGTGTAGAGGTGGGCTGAGGTGATAAGAGGTTGGTATGGGTTAACATTGGGCTGAGAAGATGATGGCCTCGACTGGTTTGAAGAGTGAGAGGGAGGGGCAGCTGAACATTAGGCCATTGTTGATGGGCTAATTATGAGGACTGCATGAGATGAGGCCTCCTCTGGGCCGGGAAGAGGGATTTGATGGTGAATGTATCTCAGAATTAATTGGCAGTAACAAGGCAATAACCAAGCTTTTCATACACCACTAATGGGTGTTTGAAGTGGTTTAAAACTTGAGATTTTAAATTGGATATTTCGAGTTTCAATTTTAAGGTGGATGGGGAAAGATAAAGAAAGCAGAGGATTATTTGTTATGGATGTTTCTATCTTATACGTTAAGGATATAAGATGATGGTGTAATAAATATATTTTTTATAATTAATTTTTATTAAAAGTATAAATATTGATTTTGATTTAATCAATAAACTAACTAAAATTATTCATATATCAATAATATTAAAATATATCAATTTTTATAATTTTAATGTAAATTAGTTACAAAATATACATTTATTACACTATTAACCTCTGATAAGTTAGATAAACCCATTTATTATATACTCCATTATCTAATGTATTAAAAAAAAGCTTTCATCTTGGGTTTTTTTTAGTGCATTGATGATGGATTATATAATATAAAATAGTCCTTTTTTTTTTAATCTCTTTTTACTAGTCGAACTCAAAATCTTTAACTTAAAATTTTAAATTTTTAATCACTTGAAACACCAAGAAAACAGCTTCCATTTGGATAAAGCTACAGAATCTGTTGAAAAAGCAAAATTTTCATCTGTTCTTTTGATCTTGCCATTGAGTTGTGTCATGGATTGCATTGCCTGAGAATGCAAATCATACCACCTCGGCAGCCCTAGGGAGGATACCTTTGCACCGAATATAATTCATCTTATTGGTATTCTTGTCTTCTCTTTGGTCGATCTAGATTATGGGTAATAAGTCACTACTGTTCATTGCTTAATATAATATTGGAGTCTATAAATTATGCATTGTTTTATTGGCAACATTAAGCTGATTTTGGCAACTAAACATGTATTTGAGTATTTCGAGTACGTTGAAAAGTTTTATTTGGAAGTTCTTAACATATTGCATACAAATACATGGCATAGAGTTTATTGTTATTGGTATCCTACCTAAATGTGTTTTTTTTTTTTTTTTTTGTACTAATCCTCCGATATCTAATAGCGAATGGTTTCTCAATATTTATTTTTTCATTTATAAGACACAAGTTCGAAACCTTATTTAATATAAACTGAATTTTTTTCATTAGTCTAAATGTGCTTAAATTACAACCCTCTTAAGTTTTACTAATTTTTTATTTAACCTGTTTTTAACAACCGAAAAAAGGCTAACCCCAGCCGACGCGTAAATGTATAACATGGGCTTTATTCCATTTTAGCAAGACATGAGAATTCACAATGGAGTAGAAAAGAGAAATGATTAATACCAAGATGAGGACGAATTGCCACTTTGTCCGAAGTGCCTTAACAAGGGCTTAGCTCACAGCATCTTCCTCTTGCATTTCTAACCTGAACCTCATAAGAAAGTATGTTCGTCATTTCACTACTTGGTTTGAAACGTTAGTTTCCAACTCAAGGTATATAGGGATGGTGACAAGCTTGTTATTAAATTGCATGCTTGACAATACTATAGCTAAACACAGTAAGGTTTGAAACCCCTTTAATCCAACTAAAAGTCTTTGGCTGAACAAGATCAACTATGTTGTTTTTATCCCATGACATATTCTTAAACACAATTCCATTCCTGAAATAAGTGTGGACGTTGATATATGGGTGATGGAGGACAGAGCAAAGCAGTCGTGGATTAAATTGTATTGGATATCAGGATACAGATGGATGCAATATCCAAGGCCTATAGCCCACTTGAGAAGTAGTACTCAAATCCTGTTAAAGGGTTATCATCCTCGTTCAAGCCTTATTTTGTACCGTCCAGGCGATGGAAAAGTGGAGTATTTACATAATACTAAGGAAGTGATGCAAGACTTGGCAACAGAAATCTGTTTGGATACCCTTGTCTCCATAAGTGTTTGCACAGGCTGCCAGCGCAAGAGTCAAAAACAGTTAGGGAAAAGAAGGGGGAAGAGCAAAGGATGTGAAAACAGAAAACCTGAAAATCTGCTCTCTTTCAGTGAAAACAGAGGACCTGGAAATCTACCCTCTTTCAGTGAAAACAGAGGACCTGAAAATTTGCCTCTCGAAGATTTGCCATCCTTCAGAAAAAACAGAGGACCTCAATTTTCTGCGCACAAACTAACTCTTCTTATTTATATTCTTCTTGTAACACTAGCTTTGCTTCGGTTTAGTATGAGTCCGGTCATGGAGAGGTAATCCAAGCAACTAATAGGCAATTGGTGATATGATGAATTGAGTTAGTAAGTGGTTATAAAAGCGCCAATTAAGCTCAATTTTGGTAACAACACGCACACATATTTATTTGAGTATTTTGAGTATCTTGAAAAGTTTTATTTAGAAATTCATGTAACATATTGCATTCAAGTACATAGCACATAACACACAGTTCATTGCTACAATACAAACCTTGGTAATGCTATCCCACATAACAGTAGGCATACGTAGTTTCGTCTATAATTATCGAGGCATAGATGGGGGTGGTGTTGGCGTCGGCAACTGCCTGCATCTCCCTTTTATTGTACATCTACGTTTTGGCATCGGCCTGGGACAAAGCTCGGTTGGTCCTCGACATACAACGATACAATACCAGGATAACACGGTACAAAAAAAAAAAAAAAATTAGATTCAGTTATTAAGTCTAGGGACCAAAATAGTCATGAAATAAAAGGTGCCCGACGGACACAAACCGTCTGTGACCGTGAGCGCCGTTTGTTTCAGTCCTTGTACTCACTCATTTATCCTTTTCTCTGTGTTTTTATTTTCAAAGATACTTGCCTAATTGCATGTTCAAAAAAAAGATACTTGCCTAATTTATTTTTGTTAATTTTAGTTAATTAGCTTATGATTTTATTTTATCAACAAAAGTAAATATCAACCTCTATTGAAAAATAATAAATTTAAAAAATCTACAATTATATAAATTTTAATAAATTTTTATTATAAAATTAAAATATCTTAATTTTTAAAACAGAAATAAAATTATTTTAATTATTTTATAATATTTTATTAAAATGACGTGATTTATGAATATGTTTTTACTTAATTTTTTATAATATAAATTGATATTAATTAATCTCTTATTTTATTTAGACTTAACAGTTTCCAATTAAGTTCTTATTAGGTTTTAGAATTTCATTGTAATTAGGTTTAGGTCTTCCTATAAATATTATTGAAAGACAACTGGCAAAAAATCCATATGATATTTTAAAAATGAATCTTTTCTTTTGATACGAACCATGGTAAATTGTTTTTCCACTGATCTAATCAGCGATATACTTCTCCTATTACCTGTGAAGAGTCTTGCACGATTCAAGAGCAATTCGAAACCATGGTGTTGTTTGATAGATAATCCGTATTTCATTAAATCTCATCTCAAACATTCCGCTAAAACGAACAGAGGTTCAAAGGTTATATTCAGAAGAAAGAAAGATTATCGGTTGTATTGGG